CAAAAAAACCCCCCAAAAACGTGTTTCTCCAGAACTCCCCCTCTCCCTTCTGCTGCTCAGTCCCTCCTTCCCACACCCCCCTCTCCGTGTGACAGCACCACACTCACACACACTTCACAGGGGTGTTTGTCACCAGCTAAGCCAGGGTTGAATGTCACCTTTCAGCCTGTTTTTGTCTTTGGTTGAAAGCAAGAATGCTCGGGCAGTGAGGGGACACGTGGGCTGGGCACAGCCCAGGGGCCTGGCAGGGACCAGCCACGTCGTGGCCACTGGACAGGGAGTTCATCAGTGCATTTCTTTAGGAGGTCCTGGGGGTTTTTTTTCTTGCATAAATAACGGCCAGTTTTGCTGCTCTGAGATGTGACTGAGCTAGTTCTTCAAAAATCACCTGTTCAACTCTCTCCTCGAAGCTGCAGGATCATCCACTCGATGATCTCAGAGGTCTCTTCCCACCTCAGTGATTTTATTTTACACTCATCACAGCCTCAGCTTCTCCTATATTTTTTTTTTGTTAAAGACATTCTTTAAATGCCTTTAAATCCTTCCAATTCCAGTTTTTCCCCCCTCGCTCCCCACTGCAGGGACCATCTCAGAGCCAGCAATATTAAAATAACCTGAGGCTTCCCTGGCTGAGAGGGAACACAAGAGGGGATCGTTTCCACTTGCCAGCAACCCTGAACTCATCCCACCTGGAATCAGGGACGTGCGTGGCAAGACCCCAAAGATTCAAACCTACCTGTCCAGGCACTTGGTTAAAGGGTCGGGTCAAATAAAAGCGAGGACAGGTAGAGAAATATTCACCCAGATGGTCAAAAACTCAAAGGATGAAGGATCCGTGTGGCTGAGGGATGGTTTGGGCAATGCCTGGCACGTTGCTTTCGAGACAAAGGCAAATCTCCTCATGTTTATCTGTGGATGCAACCAGAGAAAACAAACCTGCCCTCTTCGAAAAGAAACGAGAGCGGGGGAAAAAAGAGCAGTTCTGGCATTGAGATGTCTCAAAACAACCCAAATCCAGCTGTATTGGAAGCAGGGAAAGGAGAAAATATTGGATTTCTCGTCTTCCCTGGAGCCTGGTGAGCAGTTTCCTTTGTTGAAAGCAAAATTTTCTGTCCGACTTCCCCACTCTCTCCCCTGCAAACTTCGAAAGGCACACGCACACACACACCCACCCCAAGCCAAAAAAAAATAAAATACCAAATCAAAGAAACACAGAAAACATCGAGAAGTGCCTCCTTAGCGTGTTTTTTTCCTGGAGAACTTAATTTTGTTTTGGAAACTGCGGGATGTACTCGAGTGTTGGGTTATATTTTGAATTTGAGGCATTTAATGCCTCACAATCTGTATAATGGAAACAGAAGAGAAAGGGGAGGAAGGGGAGGGGGAAAAGAAAGGAGAATTGTGGGTGGGGGGGAAAAAGGCAGGTTTGGAAAAATATTCCCTAACAATGCTACAAAAAAAAATCCTGACATTAAATACAGACAAACTGTATTGAATAAAAATTGCACTAGTCCTCTGGGCACATCAATAATAAATTAAATACTTAACAATTTCACTGATTAAAAAAGACAGCACAAAACCCATAACAAAAGAACATAAAACCCCCCAATACTGTAATGTAGGAAAAGTGCACAAAGTTGCTTTATACATTGAATCTAAATAAAGTACCAATACATGTTAAATAGATAAATTGTCTTGCAAGACACTGCTTTTTGCATCAGTATTTACATTTTGCTTTAACTTCATGTACTTCAGCAGTGAGTCTGAGCTTCAAAAGGACCGAACTGTACATGATTTTTTGGATGTTCCCACGAAATAAAAACGACCCCAAGTGGAAGCCACAGTTCTCCCGGGCTTTCAGAAAGGATCAGTTTTGTATTTCTAAATCAGTTTTGTATTTTTTTTTCTCCTAAAAAGCTGGAAAAAAACCAATTGGGGTGTTTTAAGTCGCTGTACACGTAAAAAAACCCCATTGCTGGACAAAGATCCATGAACAGAGCAAGGACCATGGCAGTGGTGAAACAGTTATTTCACTCTGGAGATCTTTGAGGTACCCTGAAGGATGCCAGCTCGGGTTCAGCGTGGGAAGGGCACGACTTGAGGGCACATCAGCACCAAAAAAACTGTCTGGATCGATGCAGGTCAGTATAAAACAGGGATAGGACTGGAGAGAGGATTCACTGCAGGGAATCTCTCGGCTCCTACCCCGGGAAGCAGAGCGAGCTCGTGGCTGGGTGAGGGGTGTGTAGAGCACTCCAAGCGCTCAGGGGGATGGCAGGATGTCACCCTGAGCACAGCACAGTCCTGGGGACAGGCTCAGCACCACTGGCCACCAGCAGCCAACCCCACCCCAGGATAGGAGAATGCACTTGTGTTGTGTTTGCTTTCCCTGCCTGCCAGAGTTTTCTGAGAGGGGCTGGGTTCAGCTACCCTGATGCCACCAAAGATAGGTCATGGATGTTTCCTAAGGAGAGCTCGGTGGCACTACTTCACAGCTCCAAAATACCAAACAGTTGGAGGCAGCTGATCTCCTGCCAGCTCTGCAGGGAGCAGGGAGGGCTGCAGGGGCTTTGCTCCCCCCCCCCCCGTGATTTCCAGCCTGCAGGTTTGCTCCTGGCCACGCTCAGACTGAACTGCAGCACCTCCAGCAGCTGCAGAGCAAAGGGGTGCAGCTGACAGGGAAGGGAGGGACACACGAGTGAAGGCACCACCCTGCTCGGGGAGGGGGGGAAATAATTGAAGCTTGAGGTGGTTTGGATCAGAAAGAAGCCAAATCCTGATGCAAATGAGTGAAAGATGAAGCTCCTCGAGCATGGAAAGTGGTCACCTCTGGATCCTGCATGAGAAACACAGAGGGAAGAGATGCTACACCCTCACACGGGGGGCAGGAGGATGTTTAACCCCCAGTGCAAGCTGAGGGGGACCAAGAAGTGGCACTGCCACACACGGGACATGTCTGCCTGCCTTTGGCATCACTCACCCAGCTCCTGCCTGCAGGGAGCCCTCTCCACCCAGGGCTGACTCCAGAGTCACCCCTGGGAGCTACAATCAAGTCCCTGCTCACAGCTGTCCCCTGAACCAGGGATTTACACTTCCCAGCTCCTCTGAAGGGCAGCAAGGATGGCATTGTGTGCCACATGTGGTCCTGAGTCACTCCTGAGGGTGCCAGAGCTGGGCAGAGGATGAGCAGACCAAGGGATCTGCCCTCTGCCAGCTGCAGGGTCTGTCCTACAGCTTTCACCCAGGGAAAAGTTCAGAGGGAGCACTGCCTGCTCCAAGACCACAGGATAGTTCCAGACCAGGCACTGAGCAGCTAAAAAGGGAGAATTTTCATTTTCCAAGACCGCTGGAAGGAGATTGTTCCTTATTTCAGGAAGCATGAAAGGCCCTGGGGGCAGAGTTTGCACTGCAGAGCCCCCAGGACCACTCCAGATTCAGACACTGGGATCAGAACTGAGCCCTGGGGACTCATCCCGAAGCTCCAACGGGAATGAGAAAGCAACAAGACAAAGAGATGGATCTCCAGATCCAGATTGCACAGCCAGAAAACTGCTCTGGCTGCAGGAAAACTTGGGACAGCACTTTCCTAAGGAAGCAGGGGCTGTCCCTTGAACTGAGAGGACCCTACAAGAGACTGAGTGGAGTTTATTGATCCACCTGTGGGTGGGCACCGAGTGCTGCTGGTTCAGTCTCTGAGGGCACATTTAGAGCAATAAGAAACAAACCTACAAAGGTTTTCCCCCACCAAGGGGTTTGAGCCACTGAGGGGTGAGCAGGGCAGCAGCCAGGCTGCAAAAAATGTGAGGTCAAAGGTGCAATGGATGAGAAATAAGATGGTTTTGTATCACTGCTGATGGAATGCAGGAGGATGGGGAAGTCTGCCTGGGATTCTTGCTTTTCTCACAAGCTCCTGATCCCCTCAAAATCCCAGGACAATCCATAAGGCACTATGGCCTGACCCCAGAGCCAGCAGCCTCGGTGCCCAGGCAGGGGACTGTCACCCACAAGTCCTGACAAACTCTGATGCCAATTGCAGTTGGGGACGTTGGGAAGAGGCTCTTCCAGGAGCACAGCTCAGCTCCCAGCCAGAGGACACCAGTGGTGCCTGTGCTCTGCCAGCCCTCCCAAGACAGGATGACAGAGCTCCAGCAGCTCTGCAGAGACACAGACCACCGACACAGCAACAAAGTGCTCTGAGCAGATCCACATTCCCTCAACTCCAGCAAAGAACAGCACGAGGAAAAGGAAAGGAACACCGAGAAGATTCTGCTGGTCACCGGAACCGGGGAACTCCAGAGCCCCTGGGCCAGCTGCTGAGACGCTCCGGCATGCAGGGGGTGAGCACAGAGGGAACACATGCAAGTGGAATTCTCCTTCCCAGGGATGCTGTCAGAAAATCTGAGTTGACCAGGACACAAACTGAGCTGAAGTCCAACTGCAGGCGTGGCCGTGGCGGGGGCTGGACGTGGCTTCTCTTCCCTGACACAAAGCCCATCGCCGGCGACAAGCTTCTCCCAGCTTCCAAAAAATCAGCACTGCTGCTCCCACAACACTGTGCCACTTAGCATCTTGGCCCAGGAAGCAGGGAGCTATGGCTTTGACCAGCTAAACCACCGAGGGCAAACAAAAAAAAATAAGGGGGAGGGTGGCTGGTTTAGTCCTGAGAGCAGTGAAGGTGAGGAGCCGTCGCTCTCAGCCCTACCCCCTCTGTGCCTTCTGGAGCAAAACGTCTCTGCCCCACAGAGCAGCCTGTTCCTGACTCAGAGGTCAGCTCTGAAGTTTTCTGAACTGCTGGTCACGCTGCCAGGACCCAGGGCTCCATGCCAGGATCCCTCCCAAGCCAACTGTTCAGACAAGAACTCAGCGCCCTGAGGCAGAGACGGCTTCGTCTGATCGTGTTCTTGGTGGGTTTCTCCCAGTGAGAGAAGGTTTCCTTTTCTCTTTTCTTCTCTTTTTTTGTTTGGTTTTTTTTTCCTCTTTTTTTGTTTTTTTTTGTTTTCTCTCCTTTTATTTTTAACGCTAAACTCGCCTCCCACACTTCTCACACACTCAAGTCCACGTGCCACGGTCTGTAGTCATGCCCTGGGAGTCTCCTACACAAAAAAACCAACCATCCAGTAGTCAAGCATGAGAACTTAATGCTCAACAGGAAAAGACCCCCTTGTCCTTCCTGTGTGCAGCTCAACCTATATGTGCAGGCATCAAAAACAGACCAATCTGCAAGGAACACCAATATACCAAGGATGGGGCTTCTCAGGGCTTCTGGAAAACTTCAGCCCGACTTCAAGACAGCAGAGGGGACGCGGGGGAGTTGTCACTAACACTCGTCTATATTAAGGCTGATGAACTCCTGTATACACTTCCTGTACTGCAGCTCAGTGGGGCTGTTGCTGGGATATTGCCCTGGTTGTCCAAAGGGACCCTCTGCTTCCCGCATTTCCTCGTTCATCCGAGCCAGACGCAGCCTGGAGTGGGACACAGAGAGAGCACAAGCAGAGAGAGGTTTGGTTATTCCTTCCCTGGTGGCACTTTCCAGGCACTGTTCCTGATCCGAGCTCAGCCATGACCTCTTTTCAAAGTGAACATGAAATAATCTAAAGCAGGGAACTAAAATATCAGATTTTTTTTGAAGGCCCAGTGCCGTGTCCTTTGCACACCCAACTGGGAGTACACAAGATAATTGAACTAAGGAGATGCACTGAAGCTGAAAAGATTAACACATCCAGCAGTTTCAGTTTCAAAAAATACCAAAATTCACACAGATTCACTGGTGGTGATTAATTCTAGTGTATTCCTCTTAAGAAAGATTATGCTATATTTCCCAGCATATTCTTTCTGATTGTGCATTGAAATGTATCCCAGTGACCCTCGGGTTTCTGGCAGACCCATTTCTCTCGCAGCCAGAGGTCAAAATTTATTGAGGCCTCAGGAAAGTGCAGTGCTGTGTATTGGGAGAAACAGCAAACAGAACCAGAAGCAGTTCTGGGGCCACTCTAAAGCTTCAGCTAACAGTGGAAAGGCACTGTAACCCCAAAGTTATCTCAATCTGTGGGGTCACACTCCAGAGGGGAGCAACACAAGGCTCTGAAAGCAGCACGTTTTACCCTCTGAACTCGCTGTACAGCATCCTAAAGATTCCAAAGGGAAAACAGGGATGAGCCAACAGTGGTCTAGTGTTTTGAGAGCCAGGCTGGCTGACTGTGTGAGCAGTGGCAGCCCTGGCAGCACTCACAGGGTGACGATGTCTGCGTTGGCCGCCTGCACCGCGATGCTCAGCGGGTCCTGCCCGTCGCCGTCCACCGCATGCTGGTTGGCCCCTCTCTTCAGGAACAGGCACACCTGGCTGCAGGAGGGACAGGAAGGGACCATCAGAGCAGAAATTCCAGCTCCCCCACCCCTCAAAGATGCTGTCCTTCCACAGGCAGGCACAGCTTCACTTGGGCTGGTGTGAATCGGGAAACACCGCCGTGGCACGGAGAGAGGAGTGGGTGTGCAGGGACACAGCAACCCCCATCCATCATCAGGGAGGCAATTATCCATTGGACAAGCAAGTTCATAGAAACATGGAATGGTTTGGGTTCATCCCGTTCCACCCCCTGCCATGGGCAGGGACACCTTCCACTAGCCCAGGTTGCTCCAAGCCCCGTCCAACCTGGCCTTGGACACTTCCAGGGATCCAGGGGCCTCCCCACCCTCACAGGGAACAATTTCTTCCTGATATCTCATCTAACCCTCCCCTCTGTCAGGGTTCACGTTGCTGATATAAAAGCCACGCTTTGCAAACCACCAACTCCCCAAAAACCAGCTCCTGCGCCCACCTCACCCCTGACTCTTGGTGTTAATGCTGGATCCTGATCCCAGGGGGATGAAGAACGTCCCAGGAAGGTGCAGAGCACTCACCCAGTGTGCCCCAGGTACGTGGCGTGGTGCAGGGGGGCCCGGCCTCGGCTGTCTCTTTGGTTCACATCTGCCCCGTTCTGCAGCAGGAATTCACAGGCTATCAAGGAGCCCTGGCGAGGAAAAGAGGAATTTTTGCACATATCCCAGCCAGGAGCACTGGGAGGATGCACAAGGACGTACCAGGCCATGGTCAGTGCACTCCAAACTACAGCCAGGACCTCACAACGTACCCCCTTCACAGCTTGAATCAGAGGAGTTTTGTTCTCGTCCTCGTCATTCACCCAGTTGATCTCAGCACCGTGGGCAAGTGCTTCTGCCATGAGGGGCAGATTTCGGGCTTGTGCTGCCTTGTAGATCAACAAGCCAGGGTGCAGCTCCCTCAGGTCCTCCAAGTCGGATGCCTCCTGTTCAATCTCTGCCTCCCCGCTGGACTCCTCGGACACCTCGCACTCTGAGAGGCAGGAAAGGATGGAGAGAGATGAGCCAAAAAGCTTCCCACTTCCAATTTCTCGTGTTCCCTGCTGTTCCTGACACCACACAGCCCCGATATCCATCCTGCCTTAGCTGCCACCCCAGTTCCCTCTGTGACACCTGATGCCTACAATCAGGAAAATAATTACCAGGACTATTTTTGAGAATTAAAAGGCAAAAAGCACTTCTCAGCTGCAAGGGTGCACAAAAATATTTTGTCCACACTGATTGCACAGAAGACACGCTTTTACAGTTTTATACCATCACCTGATTACAATATTCACAATCTGATTACAATATTCAGAATCTGATTACAATATTTGGACTTTACCTCAACTGTTACACCCACTTCCAAAACCGTCCCTCCCGTAGCACCAACCTCACCATGCCTCTAAATTTGAGCCGCTGGTCCCAAAAAGACCATCCCTTCACCTTCTTTGTCTTCCTCCTCTTCTCCTCTGACCCTTCTGGGATGGTTTAAAAGCTCTGATTACTCATCTCAAGGGTTGTGTCCCACCACACCCACCTTCCTCGGTCACGCTGTCCACCACGGAGCCGAACACCAGGATGTCGGTGCTGCCGTCGGTGCTCCCGCCCAGCCCGCTGTCACTGCTCAGACCTGCGGGGCCAACAGAACACAAACCAAGCCCATTTTAATACCCAGGGCCCCTCCAGAACCCTGGAGGCCCAGCCGAGACCACGGGGTGGGGACGGGGCTGCGCAGGCCGTCACACCCACGGGGGACGGGGCACTGCTCTTCCCACTCAGCCCCCCGAGGAAAAACTGCAAAGCCTTATGGTGTCCGTGTGTCCCCTTCATGCAGGGATTTTCCAACACTGCCATGGCACTTTGGGCTGCTGAGGGCTGCAGTCCATGAGGGACGCCGTGACGGAGGCTGGAGCGGAGCAGCAGCAGAGACAGCTTTGCTTTGCAGCAGGTTTGGGGGGTGTCACCAGCAAACAAGGACACCCCTCTGCTTTCACCACTGGGCAGCTCGGTATCCACTCTATCCCTGCTCTCCCCAGAGCTTTGCACTTGTCACTGGGGCACTTCCTTTGATTGGCCATGGCTGGGCCAAACCGCGTCGGCCGCGGGATGTGTATCCTGGGAAAACTCTTAAAGCATGTTCCACCTTCCCTTTGCCCACAGCGCTTCCCAAATTCCCTGCTTAGCCAGTGGATGTTACAAGAATAGCTGACTGCATCCCAGAAGTGGAGTCAGGAATCATTGAATCGTGGAATGGTTTGGGTTAGAAGGGACCTCAAAGCTCATCAGTCCCACCCCCTGCCACGGGCAGGGACACCTTCCACTAGCCCAGGTTGCTCCAAGCCCCGTCCAGCCTGGCCTTGGACAATCCCAGGGATGGAAGTGAAGAGATGAAGCAACTTGTCCGAGGACACACAATGTGTCAGTGGCAGAGAAACTCTCTCCCTTTCCCAGCTCACACCCAAAAGCAGCCAAGAAAACGACAGAAAGGAAGGAAGAAGCACATCCAAGAATTGCTCCTGCAGGAAAAGGGATGGCACATCACCTTTGTCCTGAGGGATGCCTGGCCAACTTTGGGAATTCTGTCTGGATTCACCTTCTTGCTGCTTTTAACTTGCTGGGCTGGGAGTGTCTATCCTCCAAAAACTCCAGAGATTAAGTTCCCATGATCTACCCCAAGACCTACCACTGTGATTTAGGAAGGAAAACAAGCCAGGATTGTGGCTGACAAAGTGTTTCTAAAACAGCTGAGTGGTCTGTGCAAAGAGTAAGAGCAGGAAAGGCTGCAAGAGCTACAGATCTGAGCCTTGAAAACCACGGCAGAACAAGGCACCTGAACCTTGAAGGCTCTTGAACTCCCTGGAGCAGCTGCAGAAATCGTGGATCACGAGGAATCCTTCAGCTCTGTCCAACAGCCAAAGGAGATAAGGGAGCCACAACAGGAAAGGTTTAAAATGGCACATATCACACGTTATCTTTTTTTGGATTTGCTGTCAGGGAAGTGATTGCAGTTTTTAGCAGGAAAAGCAAACACTGCCTGGTGAGAGCGCGCTCTCACCCCGCCACTGCGAGGGAAGTGTGGCTCCAGCAGGGCCATGTGGCTCCACATTTGCAGCAAGGCAAGAAAGGAGGATCTGGCTCATCTCCCGTGGATATTAATACATCAAATTCCCAGTTCTGTTCCCACTGAATCGGTGAGAAAATTGCTATTTTTTCCTACAAGAGCAGGATAAGGCTGTTGAGCCTTAACTCTGGAGTTAACTCCAGGACTTAACTCTGGAGTCCTGCATCTCCCAGGTACTGTTTCTGTTGACTAAGAACACTAAATTCCTTGAAACTGGAACAGCCCAGGCCCTGATTCAGACAAGCACTAAAACACTTTCTTCTCTGATTTCAAGAGAGAAGGTGGACTTGGAGGAAAAGCCCGTGAGTTTCTGCTGTGCTGACTCAGGACTGCAAATATTGATTGTAAATTCCTACAACAACAAGCAAACGAGCCAGGAAGTTCTAATAAGTCACCGTTCCTGAGTACAAAGGACCACATGGCCAGTCTGAGACAGATGGGGAACACTCCATTAGTGCTTCCCAGAGTCAAACAGGTTGGAAAAGATCACCCAGTCCAAACTTTGACCCAACACTCGGTGGCACATCCAGTCTTTCCTTAAACACCTCCAGGGGTGGTGACTCTACCACCTCCCTGGGCAGCCCCTTCCAATGCCCAGTCACTCCTTCTGGGTAGAACTTCTTCCCAATGTCCAGCCTAAAATTCCCTTGGCACAGCTTAAGACCGTGCCCATCTTGCTTCCCATCCGAGATCCCACCTGTGCAGGAACAGTCATTCCTTTAAGGAAATAACTGGCAGCCTTAGGAATCATTTTGGAAAACCTGTCCCCAGGTAAAAGGAGGAACTCCAGTCATTTGGCTGAAGGAAAAAAATCCTTTGGAATGTCGGTGTGGAAAGCAGTGAAATTTTGGGTGTGTGTCTTTTGCTGGATCTCGGTGTGGAAGCAGTGAAATTTGGGAGTCTCTTTTGCTGCTGGCTGCCAGAGCGTCACCTTACCTCCGTCCAGGAGGAACGGAGAACCGCTCCCACCGGGACCAAGGCCACTGCCACTGCCACTCCAGGGGCCACCTGCGAGCGGGTGCTGCTCAGGGATGTGGCTGGCACCTAGAGGAAGGTGGACGGAACGTGAGGGGAGGTCATCGGCACCAACACAAAAAAATCAAAAATAAAGAAAAAGAAAAAATTGCGTGCGGTGAGGTTTGCTGAAAAAAAACATGGGGGAAATGGGAAAAGTGAGGGGAAATGGGGAAAAATGGAAAAAAATGAGGGGAAATGGGGAAAAATGGAAAAAAATGAGGG